GGGGTGTTGCTAGAGGCGACTGTGGAGGTTGGAGTAGTTTGCACTGTGGGGGTTGGAGTGGTTTGCACTGTGGGGGTTGGAGTGGTTTGCGTGGTGGTGACGACCGTGATGGGGGGGGTGGTCCCTTCGAGCGTGGTGACGCGGTCGCATAAGGATGACACGTTGGCCTTTTATGTCGTTGAGAGAGGCGGTGACAGAGTTGAGTGCGTGGAGGATGGCAGAGAGGTCAGGGGTGGCGGTGTTTGCTGGTGGTTGTTCGCCGGCGAGGTTGCGGGCGATGCTATCGACTGAGTCGGTGCGGATGTCAGACATGTTGATGGAGGATGCGGCCATGTCGGGGGAAGAGGGGGTGGAGGACGTGGCCTGAACGGGGGTGGAAGATGCAGCAGCAGCTGTGGCGGCGGCGGCAGCACGTTGGGAGTTCTTGGTTTGGTGTGGTGGCATGTGGAGGGTGGGGGGGAATCCCCTTTCTTTTATTTATTAATAAATTAAAAAATAAAGATAATCCCCAATTTTATTTTATTTTTTTCCAAAAATAAACGCTGAACAGAAAGAGTTAATTAATTTCGAAAAAATAAATTCTGATCTAGATTGTAATTTATTTACAAGAGAATGTGAAATTTCGAAAGAAAATATTTTTGAATTACGGGGGAAAAATGAATAAATAAATAAATAAAATTCTGAAAAGAATTAGGAAGATAAAATTTTTAAAATATTTGGCAAAAAATTTTCAAAGGAAAATGTCGACATTTCAGAAAAAGGATAATTAATTTCGAATAAAGAGATTAATCAGTCGTGAATTAATTGAATTTAGTCGAAATTAATTGAGGTGTTTAGAATAACATTTTTTAAAAGAAAAGTACTTCCGAATTGTAAAAAGAGTTTCGAATTTCAACACAAATTGCGAAAAGAGTTTGTGAATTAAAATACTGGGAAAAAGAATTAATTAGAATTATATTTGAAAAAAAAAAAAGAATTTAATTAATTCTAACGTATTTTCAAATTTTTTGAAAAAAATAAAAATAAAAATTAAGTAGAAATGTTTTGAAAAAGCAATGTTGAAAAAGAAATGTTGAAAAAGAAATGTTGAAAAAGAATTAAATTAGTTCTAAAATATTTTCAAAATTTTCGAATGAATTGAAAGTAGTTTCGAACTTCAAAGAATGTCGAAAAAGAAAAAGAAAAAAATTCGAACGCCTTTCGAGTTACGAAAGGGAAAGAGTTTGATTAATTCTAAAATGTTTTCCGAATTACAAAAATTTCGAAAAAGAATAAGGAATGTTTTCGAATTATGAAAAAGAAATGTCGAAAAAGAATTTAATTAATTCTGAAATTTTCAAAATTTTTCGAAAAAAGAATTGATTAAACTGATTTTCGAATTTCGAAGATGAAATGTCAAGAGAGAATGTTTAATCCTATGTATTTCGAAAATTTCGAAAGAAGAAAATACGTTTGAGAAAGAATATATGTTTGAGTAGTTTTGAATGTACAAAAAAGAAGAATATAAAATGGATTCTAGAAATGAATAAAATGAATTTTGATGTAAATCGAGGGCGGGGCGATCCTATCTATTATTGATTGGGTGGTAGCGTGGTAGGTAGGGCACGGGTAGATTGGTCATGATGATGATGATGATGATGATGATGATGGGGCGGGGACGTGGGGGGGGGAACAGTCGCGCAGGGTGGAAGAGCGGACCCGGGGGTCGCGCA